CTGTGGTTGTATTTCTACTGAAGAGCTAGACAAATAAATAGTATCTACATATTAAAAACTACAGCAAAACATCTCCATAGATTTACATGTAGTGCATAGCATAAAGGGCATCTATTACACATAACTGAACATAATTACTGAATTCCCTCAGTACCTTTTGTTTTAATATCTTCTGTTTTTCTGGAGGTGCCAGCGATGTCTTGAGGTTTGTCCTCATTAAGGGGGACCATATGCTGCTTTTGATACATTTCGTTTACCATGGCACGAACTGGGAATGAATTCACAACAGGGAGAATTATGTCAACTTCATGCAGATAAACAAGAAACTGATACTAGTTAAGTGTCTGTATATTTGATCTCCTTTTTATTTTCAGATAAGTCACTATAATTAGAATGGTGTTTCAAGAAGATCACTGGGTTCAGTGTCCAATTAATTATGCATGACATGATGAAGTAGGTAAAGTCTATGATAGATCACATGATGTTGTAGGTAAAGTCTAAATTGATATAGATGTGGCAACAGAGAAAGAAGAGCAGCATGACTATGTTGGTGTGGTGTCTTATAGGCAGCATTCAAATCCCATTTAGAGCATCATGACACAGCTAAATCCATGCAATCCCGCTGTGGTCACATCTTTGCACCAGTGAACTAAAACTTTCATGAGGACCCCCAGGAGTCTTATCAGTGTAACACAAAAATATATAATGTTAAAGCATAAGGAAAAGCACAAGAATGGCACAAGTGTTCCATGCTGTTTGTGAAATGAGAAAACAACTAGACAGGAATGACTGAATCCTGAGCAAGCTTAGTTTTCCACAGGACAATGACGAATGGTTGTTCACTTTTTATTCTTTGCTCATCCAGGATATTTTACAGTTCATGAAGAACATATGGCATCACGTTAAGTGAGTTTGGAAGGTAAGCATCTGTGTATTCCTCTAACTTTTTAACCTTGGGTACCACATTAGTTTATGACTATGATGTTCTGACTGAATTCCTTGACATAAATAACCAAAGAGAAAGATGCTCTGACTTTGATCTCTGATTCAAATTATGCATTTCCTCCAAAATAAGTTGTAGAAGGTCCCTGAATTAGTAAACACAGCCTTTCGCCAGCATCCTCATCCTGCCAGCAAGTGATTCTGATCAAGTAGCCACGCTGAGAGATGACTTATGCTTGTGGGTCTTCCATGATCACTAGACTCAAGTTATTCTAAATGAAATTGTCACATCAAGGTTGGAAAAAACAGTCCTCTTAAATTGGCTCAATGTGAACTGACATGAAAAAGGATGTGGTGCTTCGTGCTGTAATGACTCCCTCTAGGTGCTAATGGAGATGAGAAAGGCAGTGGCTACTCAAGCAATGAGTGTGGACCACATCTGCTCACTGTTTGCTCATCCAAATTTTAAAAAGACTTAATTCTTTGAGAATTCCATAAAATGTATTTTAACCATATTCATCCCCACTATTACCCTAATTCTCTTGGTTCCATTCACATCACTCCACTCATTATTAGCTTTGTGTTCTTTTTATTTTCCCTAAAAACCCACCAAGATCAATTTGTGCTGATCATATATTCATGAGCATATGGCTATCCTCTGGAGTTTAGTCATCCTGCTAAGAGCAAAGCCAGTTTGTATATACTCTCCATCAGCAGATCTTTATAAGGGGCTTCTTCTATTTTATTTCATTACTTTTGATTTTTTAAATGGTTTTCTGTTTCTTTTTGTTGGTGAAAAAGGCCTCTAGCCTAGGCTGGGCTAAAATTCACTATTTAAAAGGGCTGGTCTTGAACTTATGGCTTTCCTGCATCCACCACTCTAAATCAAAGCTTGGGAAATCATGGGTACATTCCATGGAGTACTTGGAATGAAACTCAGGTTTTTATGACATGATAGGTATGTACTAAGCCAATCCCCATAATAGCTCCACTTAACACATTAGCTCACTAGTGAAACCCTGAACATGCAGACACACCAATGTGGACAGAATGACACCCAGCAACACTCTTCCCCGCTGACTATGTAGATTCACCGAGAGTAAAAATGTAATAGGCAAGAAGGAGACTAACTACCCATGACAGGAAGTAGCCTTGTTGCTCAGAGTCTAGCTCTCCTTTAAAAGTACATTGATGGCTGCTTGCAGAGGACCTGTACAAGGTCAAAGAGGTCAGCACTGGCTTGTAGGAAAGCTGTTCTCAAGCCTAACTGAGAAGATATTGGTAATTTATGGCTTCTATTTGAGGGAGGGACAGTTTGAGTTAAAAGTGTTGACCCTGGAAGGTCAACCCCGTGCCAGTGGATGCCCCTACATGTTTCAGTATGTGTTTAGCATAAAATGGGCTACAAAATTATTTTTTAAGGATATAAATTTGGGAAAAGGTAAAAAGGGAAAGTGGATTCGTAAGAGTCATGAGAGATAAATAAGCAATTTATAGTGCATAAATTTATCAAAAATTTAAAAGAAATAAAATTTTAAATGTATTTCTTGAATAATGATTCAGCACAGGTCATTAAACAAATGACTAGAATTCTCAGTGGACACTGTACTTAAATTTTGTGGCTCTATGTTGTCTAATATGCTATTTTTTTGCTAGATCTTACTGGAATGAAGCATGTCTCTGTTTAATCAAGTTGTGACATATCCACCCAACTTTCCTATATACTGTATTTCATTTTCAGACTTTGTCACCTGAAAAGTCGTATGTATGCTTCTCTACTGTGACTATGTGCTGCATGCTGAACGACACTACCTATGACTTCTATCCACTACAGTAGTCATTGTAGTGTTTGGGATCCCTATGGATTTGCTTTATTGCAGGCAGATGCAATAAAGCAGAACTTTCCCACAGGGATTATGATACTCTTTATGGGATAAGAAGTGGCTCTTCAGATGCATAGATATGGAGGCTTATGACTGTCTCTATGCTCTGTTTTTTTCATATATGAAGGAACACAAGAATGTAACCCAACCCTGCCAGGTGTGGTGATGTTTTAACACATTTTTGTAGGTAAACTGTATTCTGGTTTTTCAATTTACAAACTTATTGCTAGAAATTGGGTTGGGTAGTTTGGATATTTTTCTTTGGAAAAAATTTAGATATGACTTGGTGAACAAATTCCCCAAATATATAAAAGAATCAACATGACAACCATAGATACATGGTCATGATTTGTTACTTGGGATATCACTTTCTTTAAATTACAAACAAAAACATAAAAACTTGTACTTCTCATTATCTTAGAACACAGTGGTCCATCACAAAAAGACAAGCAGTATTTACACAATTCCCACCTGAAATGTGTCTTAGAGAGTGAGTCTATAGTACATACCACATCTGCGTTTTTTAGATATCATCTGTAATTGAAAGGAAAAAATAAAATTTAGATCATGTTGAATAATGCCTGTAAAGTTGTTTGGTCCTTCCATAGTTGACATAATCAGTATAGAAAAGAGCAATCATGTGGAGTCTATATTAATGGGCTCCTTATTTGATGATGTAACAGAAGATGGACAAAGGGGGTCTGCCCTTTGTCCTAAAGACTAGCACCCTTCATATTTTTTTAAATAATTCAACCTGTTTGGCCTCTACTGAAGGTTCCCTAACATACATCACATACCCTCTATAAAAACTTGTATTTTTCACTAAGATATTTTCTGTTTCTAGGGCCTATGTTAGAAATAATTTGAGAATATGATCCAAAGTTAGATGTGTCAGTAGCTTAGTGTGTACAGCAACATTAGGACCTTTAAAACATGATGTACCAGGCTGGAGAGATGACTCAGATGTTAAGAGCATTGGCTGCTCTTCTAGAGGACCCAGGTTTAATTACCATCATCCACGTGGCAGCTCACACCCATATGAAAAAGTTCCAGGGCGTATGATACCCTCATACAGACATATATGCTCATACTGGGATTTGATTTCCAGCATCCACATGGTGCTTCTCTCCTCCTTGGTACCAAGGTCACACATGGTGCAAATATACACATGCAGGCAAAATATTGAAGCATTAAAAAAACACCACCCCACCACAAAAAACATAATCACTTTAATGATTAAAATGTGATACCCATTGAAACTGAAGGGAACCACTGAGGTAACCTGTCTACCTCAGAGAGAGGAAGGGCCCTCTTACCTTCTCTGTCCTCCCTTGTGGCTTTTGCTGGCCCACTGGTGAATCTGGGCTATCAGAGTTTTCAGGGGACACTAGAGGGACAGAAAGTGTCAGTCAGCTCACAGGACTGCTTACTATTTTCTCTGGTCTTTACTTGATGTGAGTAAAAGTGCATTTACTTGGTACATGTGACTAAATCTAATGAACAAGATGGTCTGTTGATGCTAGACTGCTTTCCCATAAGGCAAACTAAGGCAGCAGGAAGACTTGGAGAAAAATGAGGATATACCTTTGTACATCTAACAAAGGACTGATCCAGATGACCTACTAAAATTCAAATGTGTTTCCTGGCATATTGCCCCTGAGAAGAATTCTGTTCAGTTCTCTTCTGGTGATCTTGTCACAGTCTCATGAGTTTTGTGATGAAAAGACATTTAGTGAATACAAAAAGGTCTAGTACATCAAGGGTTGAGGCTGCAGACATGCCTGGTGTTTGTCCACATTGCACGAACAATGCATTCCAGTATGCAGCATCAACAGGAAGGTAGCAGGTAGAAGAGACCACATAGGCCTCCCTGAATCTCCAGACCTACAGTCCTGAGTCAACAAGAAGATTATGAAAGAGGAGAGGTGGCTGTAGAGGGATAGGGGCAAGAGGCAATAAGGGAGATTGAAAGAAGGGACTAGAAGTGGAATCCTGTGTCTCTGTCACATATGGTTCCTAAGCAGGAGCCTGACTTTACAATCAATAAACACTGTGCATTAAATCTACAGGTCTAGTCTAAGATTGGTTCTAAACTCACTTGCAAAATGAGAGAATCAGGAGATGCAGACATAATTCTGAAGAGCCTCAGCTACGAACCTACTCAAGAAGCAATAATGAAGCCCCTGTGAGGAAAAAGATTCCTAATATTATAACCTCATGTTGCAGAAGAGAGACAGGTCAGACCATGCCAAGAGTGAGACATTCAAGTACTGATACCACAGAGGACAGACATAGCCTAAGATCAGATGGGTACCAGGAGAGTAGATTCCCATGAATCCATGTCCTTTATCCTGAGGAATAAACTCAGGACAACTCTCAAAACTAGGTTGAATCAAGGGAGTCTCAAAAGGCACTAAGAATGAGTCAGAGTGCAGACTCTTTCTTACTCATTAAGTCAAAGGATCTAAGATGAATATCAGGCTCTAACCTCTCTTGACTTAATCATGTAGCATGCAGTCCAATATAGGGAGCATATATTGAAAAGAACCAAAAGACATACATTAATTATATCCTTAATTTTCAGGCCATTGCTATTGTTTCAGTGAAGCCATGTTAGGGAACCCTGCTAGCTACTTAGCAGTTTACCCTGTGGATGTCCTTTAAAGAAGGACAAAATGGTCAACAGATGACCAAGAAGGCACTACTACAAAAGTTTCCAGGAGACCCAGGGAATTATCTGCTTATTCTCTATCACCAGGACCACTTTTTAAGATCTTTATATACATGTATATTTGAATGTATAGAGGAGGTGGTCTTCAATCAGAAAGACTGGGTTTATCATAGATTAAAACCCCAAACCGATACTAACTTTTGGGGGCACTGTGATGGTTAATCTCAAAAGTCAAGATGATAAGGGCCAGATCTCTGGGTCATGGCAGTAGGGCATTATCTTGACAGAGTTACTGAGGAAGTAAACTATCCACTGTCAGTGGTATTGTTCCTGGGACTGAGATCCACAACTATATAAGGAGAAGGTGAGCAGAGCATAAGCCTTCCTTTGCCTTATTCTTGTTGCATTGGACCTGTGCCTCAGGCTCCTGGATCTATGGGTTCTTAGCGAATATGCACACCACACTCATGACAGCATGGCAAGTCAAACACTCCTTCTTTGTCATATTTTGGTCATAGTATTTCATCAAAGAAAAAGTACCTAAGGTACACATATTCCATGGAGAGCTACTAAGCACAATTGCACATTTGGTCATACTAAGTGCTGAAAAGCATTAAATGTTAAAAGTCTGCCTTCAAATGTCAGAGCCAGAGGAAAATGAAAGCCAGACAACCTGACAAGACTACAATGATGTTTTTGGAAGAAGAAAAGCACAGAAACCTCCTGCCATTTCCTTGTCCCTACTGTTCTTTCCCACAATCACAGGGTGTGACACACTACTCCAGGGAGCCACTCCACTTGGGACAGTTCAGAAACGTTATCTGTTTCAAATTTTGTCCTAACTCCTGACAATTTTGACAAACACCATGTCAATCTTGAGGCACTTTACACTCAGTTCATCTACATTAAACGTTTCTGGGAGTAAGTAATAGGGTGGCCCACCTATTCCTGCCTGTACCAGGGGAAGTGACAATGAAAAGAGACAACAAATTAAGAGTATCTACTTAAGAAAATACGGCTAATTCATTCATAGATTTTTCATATATCATACAACATGATCTATAATTATGAAACAATGCAATCAAATTGTTGTATTTTGACAGTACCTTCCATTTCATTTCGTGGTCTTTCTATGGAAGCTGAAGCTTTACAGACAACAGGGCACCTCCAACACATTTGTCTTAACGTATTTGAGCCTGGGAATGCATTCACAACAGTGACAGTTATGTCAGCTTCATGGCATAAAAAACAGAGGAAATCAATAATGGTTCCATTTTAAACATTCTATCTCATGACCATGCTCCAGACACTGTCCTCAGAATCTCAGTGGTCTTGGGAAATTCACTGAGTGCACTGTACACTCCAGCATGCATTGCATGTATGGTGTACTTAAGTCATAAGTTTATGTCAACTTGACAATGCAAAAAGAATAGAAACATGACTGTTCCATTGGAGTTGTACCTAACAAGCAGAATCAAAATCTCTTTTAGAGTCACATGAACACAGTAAAATTTATAACTCCCTAACTTCCATGTGGGTTTCACTAGGATGCTATATACTTGACTCCCTATGAGACTTCTCAGTTCAAAACACATGAATATACAAGTGCATATGCATCTATGTATATATGTGTAAGCACAGAAACTAAACCTCCTCAAGGAAGAGCACATATACTGCAGAAGTGCTCTGTGGTGTCTGCTAAATGGCAGCAGAGTCAGTTATCTATGAGTGAACCCAGGAAGCATGAGGTTTGTGTCGGTTATGCATGGACAGGTGCACTGAGAGTGCACCATACCTGTTCATGCCTACCTTCTCTGTATTGTTATGTTTTCTTTTCTTTTTCAGAAAATATATCTAGTCTAGTCTAGCCTGAAATTCACTACAGACAAAGAAAGGCCTTGAACTTGTGTTTCTCTTTCTTCTACTTCTTACGGACAAGGATTAATAGAATTGAACCATCCTGGGTACATTTTAAGCAGAACTAAGAAACTCTGGATCTGGGCATGCAAAGCATAGCTTCCCTTATGCAAACGGCAATATTACAAAGCACTGAAAGTAGGCACATTATGCAGGATACACTTGAAATCATATACTGAGCCACATGGTTCACTGCTGAAAATATGTAACTACTTAGTGTAAACTTCAAAACATGGAGACTGACCACCACTGAGAGGAAAATCTCCTGAAGCATAGAGTTTGTCCAACCTTTAAAGGTGTAGTCCCATGAGGGGGCTGTGGTATAGTGCATTCCTTCAATAACAGCACATGTAGGCTTAGACAGGTAGAACTGTATGATATCCAGCCAATAAAGTTATATATACAGGTAGTGCTAGTATAGCCCCAGATACACAGTGATACCCTGCTTCAAAAATAAAAATACCCTTAATTCCATAAAGAATAAGATAGCACTGATCAATTTCCAAGTGATGACTAGAATTCTTAGTTGACACTGTGTCTAAATTGTGTTGCTCTTTGTGCATACTAATATTGCCAACCCACTTAACCTTTTCTCCAGACCTTCTTAGAATGAGTTGTGTCTATGCTAAAGCCAGTTGGGACATATCCACCCCACATTCCGGTGTACTGGGTTTCATTTTCGGCTCTGTCACCCGAAAAGAAGTATGTGTGCTTCTCTATCTTTCAAACTGACTATCTTCTGCCTGCTGAATAAGAATATCTAGACAACAGTTATGTTTGTATTTGAAATCCCTGTATATTTGCCTTATTGCAGATGCTGAAAACTGGAAGTCTTCTATAGGGATTATTGTGCCTTTGATGCGGTAAAAGAGGCTCTTGAGATGCACACCAAAAGAGCTTCATCAATACTACTGAACTGTTCTTTATTCATATGGATGGGCACAAAACCACATGCCTGACAAAGCATGGCTGTGATGAGGTTTGAGCACATTTTTGTAGGTAATGTGTATTCTGATTCTTCAATTTACATATGTCACTGTAAACTGGGTTGGGAAAATGACATGCGTGTTTTTAGGGGGGAAAGTTTTAGACACAACTTGGAGAACAAAATTAAACAAAAGTGTTCACTGGTGAGCAAAATAAACAAAGATATATCCATGAGTTTTTACTTGGTATATTGTTTCTTCTACTTTTTCGTTTAAAGAAGAAATAAACAACTAAAGCCACAATTCTAATTAACAACATCTTAGATTACAGCTGTGCATCATACAAAATAGAGTGTTTACACAATTCCTATTTAAACTGTGTCTCGGAAGTGGTTAAAAAATACATACCATACATGCATTTTCTAGAAGCCACCTGCAATAAATAGGAAAGAAAATATTTAATGCCGTGATCATGCTGAGTAATGTCTGAAAAGCCTTTGGTTTATTCAATGACAGGGTGTAATTGCAATCAGGACAGAGAACAGTAAAGAGGAGACTATATTAAAGGGTGTATTATTTGATGATGTCACAGAAGATCTGGGATTCTGTACTTTGTGACAAAAACTAGTATCTTTCATACTTTTTCTGATTCAAAGGTAGATGAGGCAAACTTGTTTGGCCCTAGAGGGTTAAAAAATCAACATCACATAACATTCAAGAAAACTTGCATTTTTTTCTAAGATGTTTACTGTTTCTAGAGCCTGTGGTTTGTTAATAACTTCAGTATATTACCCAAAGTTTGATATGTTGGAGGCTTATTGTTTCCAACATGAGGATTTCAGTGTTCAGTTGGTCATATCTTTAAACCATGAAGGTCTATAAACCTAAAGTATAAACCAGAGGCACTCACCTTGATGGAATCACTCATAAAGCAGGACACAAATTGTGCCACATTGAGATGCATGCTGTTTTGAATCAAGACCAAGTTGGTACAGTTAAATTCCCTCCTCCAACTAAATAAACTCTCTAATGCCCATGATGCCTCAGACCAGTTTCATGATTCAAATGTGATACCCACTGAAACATGAGGGGACCACCGATGTAACCTTTCTGCCTTAGAGAAAAGAAAAGTCTTACCTTCACCATCCTCATTAAAGGCTTTCGCTGGAACCTTGGTGAAGTTGCAATTTTAGCAGGTTCAGGAGACACTAGGGACAAAGAAAGTGACTCTTAACCCACTGAATTACTATTTACAGGAAATCTTTTCTTGATGTGGGCAAAAGTGCATTTAGTTGGCACATACGACTAAATCTAATGAACAATATTGTTGGGCTGTTGCTGCACTGTCTTCGATGAAGGTAAATTAAGCCAGAAAGAAGATCAACAGAAAAGTAAGACAGATTTTTTTCTTTATGGGGAATGGGAAGATAAAGCGTTTTAAACGAATCTGTTTTATGGCATAAAGATGAAATAAATCTTTGAAACTGTCTTTTTACACTTATTCTAGTTTGGAGACTCAACAGTTAGCTGTGCATTGAGTATAACTGAACCTTCTATGCCAGATTTTTTTAATTCACTAGGCATTTTTAGGTTCAATTTCTTGTCCTCAGTCTTACAGCAAGTGCCTTTACTGCTGAGCCATCTCGCTGGCCGCATAAAGCAAATCTTATGATAAAAATCACACAGCGCAACCCGTTCCTGAGATGATTTTGAGTGCAGGGTAATTGCCACTCTCTTCAGGCTCAGCTGGCCACCAGTAGACGATTACCTATGTCCATGTAATAAAGGTCTGATCCACCTACACCAGAGATTCAACTGCCTTTGCAGGCATGCTTTTCTGAGAAGGGTTCTTCTATGTTTTCTCCCAGTGATCTTTTGAATCTCATGGGCTACGTGAGTGTGAGTCATCTTGTGATTGATGAACTATCTAGGACACCCAGGACTGAGGCTGATGAACATTTCTGAGAGTTAGTCTACATTGCCTGGACAATGTCCTCCAGTACACAGTATCACCAATAATGCCATAGAAGAATGGACCACACAGGCATACATGGCTTTTCATAGCTATAGTACTGAATCAACATGGCATTTATGGAAGAGAAGTGGCTGGAGAGGGATAGGGGCCCGAGGTAATATGAAGGGAGACTGACAGGTGGGAAACAGAAGTGGAATCCTGTGTCTCTGTCACACACAGCTCACAAGTGGGTAGAAACTGTGAATTGAACCTACAGACTATAAAAAGGAGCCCAAACCAGCTCCAGAATAAGAGAATCCAAGAGAAGCAGACATACATCTGAAGATTCTAGGCTGTAAGTCAACTGAGGAAGTGACATTGAAGTCACTTAGAGGACAGAGACTCCTTATATTAAAATCTCATTAGCCCAGGAAGGATGAGACAAGTCAGAAAAAGACAATAGCGTGGATAGGAGACACGTATGGACAGCAGGGAGGACAGGCACATCCCATGGGTGCCTGGAGAAGCAATCCATTTGTGTCTATATCCTTTATTGTGAGGAACATGGCAGTATATTTGTGAAACCCACAAACTCAGTCTCTGTATCTTGGAGGATGAAGTAAGGATGCCTCTAAAAGCATTGAGGATGGGTATGAGTACAGATTCTCTCTCATCCATTCAGTTAAAGGATTCAAGATTGATTTCATCCTGTAACCTCCCTTGACTCAATCTAGTTGCCAGTTAAATTTAAGGAACATAGACTGCTAAAAGTTAAAGGTATCCATGAGGTCTTTACTTTTCAGGACACTGCTAGTGTTGCAATGAGGCCATACTGGAGAAACCTGCTTTCTACTTAGCAGTCTAACCTCCAGATGTCCTTTAACGTGGAACTAAATGGTCAAAGGAGAACCAAGGACACTGGTACAAAATTCCCAAGGGATCATGAGAATATGATTTTCTCATTTGGTATCATCAGGACTTTCTAAGACACACACACACACACACACACACACACACATATATATATGAATATTTGAATATTTGAACATTTGAGTGCCTAGAAGAGGACTGTCGCCCACCAGTGGGACTGACCATACCATAGATTAAAATGCTGTGAATATTTGTGCAGTGTCTGAAAATGTGTCAGTGTGATCCATTTAATAAAGAGTAGAATGGATAATAGCAAGGCAGGAAGAGGTTAGGTGGGTTTTCCAGGGATAGGGAGGACTCTGGAAATAAAAGAAAAGTTGGAGATGACTGGCAAATGTAGATTGGAAAATGGAGGTGCAAAATAAAGAAAGATAATGCCAAGTGATAGAACATAGATTAATGTAAATGGGAAGTCAATCACACTGACACACCTTCACACACAGTATACAAATATCCAACAACATCAAAATTCTCAAATGAACACAACAGTTTACGGGCACTGTGATAATTAATCTCAATAGTCAAGTTGCTATGATCCAGATACCAGAACATGCTTATAGAGCATTTTCTTGACAGGGTGAACTGAGGAAGTAAACGGTCCCACTGTCGGCTGAGATCCACAACTATATAAGGAGAAGGTGAGCAGAGCATAAGTCCTCCTTTGCCTTATTCTTGTTGCATTGGACCTGTGCCTCTGGCTCCTGGATCTATGGGTTCTCAGCAAATATGCACACCACACTCATGACAGCATGGCAAAATGATCACTCCTCCTTTGGAATATTTTGGTCATAGTATTTCATCAAAGAAAAAGTACCTAAGGTACACATATTCCATGGAGAGCTACTAAGCAAACTTGGACATTTGGGAGTGACAGATGCTGAAGAACATTTAATGTTAAAGTCTGCATTTAAATGACAGAGCCAGAAGCATAGAGCACTTAAGCCTGACAACATGACAAGTCTACCATGATGCCTTTGAAAGGAAGAGGAAAAGCACAGAAATCCCCTGCCATTTCCTTTTCCCTACTGTTCTTTCCCACAAGCACAGGGTGTGACACACTACTCCAGGAGCCACTCCACTTGGGACAGTCCAGAAATGTTGTTGCCTGTTTCAAATTTTGCCCTAACTCTTGACAACTTTGAAAATCACCATGTGACTCTTGAGACTGCTTACACTGAGTTCATCTACATTAAAGGTTTCTGGGAGCAAGTATTAGAGAGGGTTCCCTATTCCTGCCTGCCCAGGTGAAGTGACAATGACAGAGACAAGATTGAGTTCATCTTTCCTATGTTTACTGTTACTCAATGATTGTAACAGTTCACGTAAAGTACATTTTTAAATTCTTTTGTTGAATAGCACCTGATGAACTATGCAAATTAACATTATCTACATTGGAAACTAATGCTAAGTTCATCATTTTTACCCTTTATAATACAATAAATATCAACAACTAACATATATCACCCAATGAAATTATTGCCTTTCAACAGTACCTTCCATTTCACTTTGTGCTCCTTCATTGGAAGTACCGTCTTGGACTTGAGGTTCTTCAGTGTCCCGAGGAAAAACAGTGCTATTCCGAAAGAGTTTCCTCCAGATTTTGGACACTGGGAATGCATTAACAGCAATGACAATTATCTCAGTTTCAAGGCAGACAACAGAGGAAACTAGTTTGTTTTTCTACATCCATCTCATGACTACTCTGCAGGCACTGTCATCAGAGTCACAGTGGTGATTAGGGAGATCACTGAGTGCACTGCATATTCCAGCATGCATTACATTCATGGTGTAGGGAAGTCATAAATCCATGTCAGTGTGACAGTGTTGTGTTTCCCTGCTGAATGTATGTGCCTAATGAGTGCTCACATTCAAATCTAAGAGAATGCCCTCTCCTGAGATGAAAAGTTTCTGGAGCATAAAGTGTACCTGACTTTTAAGGATGTGTTCTCATTGGTTATAGAGAGAACTTCTTTTATAACAGCACTGTGTAGACAGAGGCAGGTGAAGTTGTGTGAGTTCCTAGCCAGTATGGTTTATGTGTATGCAGTTCTAGTACAGGTATGGACACACAGTGAGTCCCTGCCTCAAAAACAAAGCAAAAGAAAACACTGTATTCTCAACGATGAGATGATATAGATAAAGCTCCAGTTGGTGACTGCAGTTCTCAGGGTACACTGCCCATAAATTGTGTCCCTCTTTGTGCCCACACTAATGTTATATAAAATGGTATGTTTTTCTTCAGAAAATACTGGAATGCATTGTGACTAATAGAAACCAATTTTGGAACTATCTACCGTACTTTCCTTTGTACTTTACCTTGGAGTGTCTGAAACCTGAAAAGAAGTACCTGCGTTATCTACCTTTCCAACTTGTGACTACCCGCTGCACTGCAGGCAGATGTAAGAAGGCAAAATTCTTCTACATGGGTTGTTGTGCCCTTGATGGAGCACACAGTGACTCTTGAGATGAACAGCTAAGGAGCCTCATCACTACTTTTGAGCTGTTTCTTTTGAAAAACGGATGAGCACAAAAGCATATAACTGATTCTGCATATTTGAAATGAAGTTTGAACACATTTTTGTAGATATCCTATAATCTGATTTTGAATTTACAAAATTGTCATGGGAAACTGTGTTGTATATTTGGATAGCTTTTAAGGGAAAAAAGACTTAGACAAGAATCAGGGCAAAATTGAGCAAAGTCACAAAGACTAAAGATAGATGCATGATTTGTTACCTCCTATTATGGCACTTGTCTTTAAAACAACCAAAGAAAACACTTTAAAATGACAATTCTCAAATGAAATACATACCAAATCTGCGTTTTTTAGACACCACCTGCAATAAATAGGAATGAAAATATTTAATGCCAAGATCTTGATGTGTAATGTCTGAAAAGCATTTGGTTTATCCAATGACAGTGTAATTGTAGCCAGGACAGAGAAGAGCAGTAAAGATGAGACTATATTAATGGGTACATTATTTGATGATGTCACAGGAAATCTGGGATTCTGTACTTTGTGACAAAGTAGTAATTTTCATACTTTTCTGAATCAAAGGCAGATGAGGCAAACTTTTCTGGCCTATAGAGGGTTGTAAAGCCTACACCACATACCATACATGAAAACTTGTATTTTTCCATAAGATGTTTTCTGTTTTCAGGGTCTGTGATTTGGAAATAACTTGAGTATATGACTCAAAGTCTGATATGTTGGAAACTTAGTGTGTCCAGCTTAAGGATGTTCAATATTCAGCTTGTCAGATCTTTAAACCATGAGGACTAGTGAGAATTAGAGGCACTCACCTTGATGGAATCACTCATAAAGCAGGACACAAAATGTGCCACGTTGTGATGTATGCTGTCTTGAATCAAGACCAAGTTGGTACAGTTACATTCCCTCCTCCAACTAAACTCTCTAATGCCCATGATGCCTCAGACCAGTTTCATGATTCAAATGTGATACCCACTGAAACATGAGGGGACCACCGATGTAACCTTTCTGCCTTAGAGAAAAGAAAAGTCTTACCTTCACCATCTTCATTGGAGGCTTTCGCTGGAACCTTGGTGAAGTTGCAATTTTAGCAGGTTCAGGAGACACTAGGGACAAAGAAAGTGACTCTTAACCCACTGAATTACTATTTACAGGAAATCTTTTCTTAATGTGGGCAAAAGTGCATTTAGTTGGCACATACGACTAAATCTAATGAACAATATTGTTGGGCTGTTGCTGCACTATCTTCGATGAAGGTAAATTAAGCCAGAAAGAAGATCAACAGAAAAGTAAGACAGATTTTTTTCTTTATGGGGAATGGGAAGATAAAGCGTTTTAAACGAATCTGTTTTATGGCATAAAGATGAAATAAATCTTTGAAACTGTCTTTTTACACTTATTCTAGTTTGGAGACTCAACAGTTAGCTGTGCATTGAGTATAACTGAACCTTCTATGCCAGATTCTCTTAATTCACCAGGCATTTTTTAGGTTCAATTTCTTGTCCTCAGTCTTACAGCAAGTGCCTTTACTGCTGAGCCATCTCGCTGGCCGCATAAAGCAAATCTTATGATAAAAATCACACAGCGCAACCCGTTCCTGAGATGATTTTGAGTGCAGGGTAATTGCCACTCTCTTCAGGCTCAGCTGGCCACCAGTAGACGATTACCTATGTCCATGTAATAAAGGTCTGATCCACCTACACCAGAGATTCAACTGCCTTTGCAGGCATGCTTTTCTGAGAAGGGTTCTTCTATGTTTTCTCCCAGTGATCTTTTGAATCTCATGGGCTATGTGAGTGTGAGTCATCTTGTGATTGATGAACTATCTAGGACACCCAGGACTGAGGCTGAAGAACTTGTCTGGGAGTTTGTCTACACTGCCTGGACAATGTCTTCTAGTACACAGAACCACTAATAAGGGAACTGGTAGATTGGACCACACAGGCCTCCATGGCATGCTAGACCAAGACACATGGTAATTATGAAAGAGAAGTAGCTGAGGAGGATAGGGGCCAGAGGTAATAGGAAGGAAGACTGAAAAGTAGAGGTTAGAAATGGAATCCAGACTCAGTCACACACAGATCAGAATCAGGTAGAAACTTAATTCAGCCTACAGATATACTCTATAAAAATGAGCCCAAAGCTACTGCAGAATGAGAGAATCCATAGAAGCAGATATACTTCTGAGGAGCCTAGAGTGTGAGGACTGAAGACATGACAGTGAAGTCACTGAGAGGACAGAGACTCCTTAGATCAAATTTCATGTCCCCAGGAATGATGAGAAATGTCAGACCATGCCAAGAGTGTGGGACTCAAGTACCTACAGCACAAGGGACAGACACACCCTATGGTTGCCTACACAGCTAATCCCCTCATGTCTATATCCTTTAATCTGAGGAATATGGGCAGTATTTTATGGAATTCACAAACTCAGTCTCTGTATCTTGGAGGATGTCTAAAAGTACAGATCCTTTCCCCATTCATCATCCATTAATTCAAAGGGTCCAAAATAGATATCAGCCTGTAACCTGCCTTGACTCAGTCACCCAGCATGCCAGTTAAAGCTAAGGAGCACAGACTGCTAAAAGCTGAAGACACACATGAGGCCTTTAATTTTCAGGACATTGATAATGTTCATTTATTTATCAGTCTATGAATGTCCTTTAAAGAGGGACTAAATGGTCAGTAGGGGAAGAATTAGGCACTACTACAACATCCTACTGGACCCAGGGAAAGTATCTGCACATTCTGCACCACTAAGAGGACTTTGTAAAATCTTTAGTTATGTATACATTTGAATGCACAGGAGGAGGTGGTCTCTTCCACCAGAAAGACTGGGTTTATCATAGATTGAAACACCAAACTGATCACTACCTTTTGGGGGCACAGTGATGGTTAATTACAAAAGTCAAGATGATAAGGGCCAGACCGGTCATGGCAGAAGAGCATTATCTTGACAGGGTTAACTGAGGAAGTAAATTGTCTCACTGTTGGTGGTATTGTTCTTGGGGCTGAGATCCACAACTATATAATGAGAAGTTGAGCAGCACATAAGCCCTCCTTTGCCTTATTCTTCTTGTACTTGAACTGTGCCTCAGGCTCCTGGATCTATGGGTTCTCAACAAATGTGCACACCACACTGATGATAGCATGGCAAAGTTATCACTCCTCCTTTGGCATGTTTTGGTCATAGTATTTCATCACACAAACTGGGAAAGTACCATAGGAATAACTTCCATGGAGAGCTACTTAGCACAATTGGACATTTGGTAGTGAGAAATGCTGAAAAGCATTAAGTATTGAAAGTCTGCCTTCAAATGAGAGAGCCAGAAGCAAAGAGAACTTAGGTATGACAACACAACTAGACTACCATGATGCCTTTGGAAGAGGAAAAGCAATGCTACCTGTGCCAACTCCTTTTCCCTTCTGTTCTTTCCCACAAGCAGAGGGTGTGACACACTACTCCAGGGAGCCACTCCACTTGGGGCAGTCCAGAAATTCTGTTGTCTGTTTCAAATTTTGTCCTACCTCCTGACAATTTGAAAATTACCACATCAATCTTGAGACTATTTAAATTCAGTTCATCTACATTAAACGTTTCTGGGAGAAAGTAATAGAGAAGTGGTTCACCTACTCCTGCCCGTACCAGGTGAAGTGACAATGACAGAGGGCAGGTTGAGTTCACCTTTCCTATGTTTATTGTTGCTTAATGGCTGCAACAATTGTTTATATTGAGTTCATCCACATTAAAGGTTTGTTGGAGAAAGTAATAGGGTGGCTTACCTATTCCAGCCTGCACTAAGTAAACTAACAGATTGAGTTCATCTTTGCCCTGCTTTTTGTTGCTCAATGACTGGAAAAGGTGAAGTTAAAATTCATTCTTAAATTGTGTGGTTGAATTTCAACTGATGAACTATGCAGATTAACATTATGCAAACAGAAAATAATTCTAAGGTTGTCATCTCCTCACCTTATTGTACAATAATGACCTGCAACTGCTATATATCTCCCAATGAAATTATTGCCTTTCAACAGTACCTTCTGTTTCAATTTGTGGTCTTTCTATGGAAGTGTCATCTTGGTCTTGAGATTCTTCATCAACCTCTAGAATAGTAGAATGCTTTGGGTAGGGTCTATCCAAGATATTTCCTGTATTAAAGCAAACAGTTTTGTTAACTTCATTCCAGGAAAACAAAGGGAAACCAGTAATGTTCTTTTTTTGTACATTCTATCTCATGACCATATTCAAGCACTGTCATCAGAGTCACAGTGGTGTTTCACAAAGATTGCTGAGTGCACTGCATACGTCAGCATGTAATACACTGATGATGTAGGCAATTCATAAATTCATGTCAGTGTGACAGTGTTGGAGAAGAGCCACTTTACTGTGTTAAATTGCATTTGTACCTGATTAGCGGCATCCAAATCTCTCTTAGAGTCACATAAACACAGCAAAATTCATAAACTCCCTCATTTCTCTGTGGTCTTAGCTAGGATGCTATATACTGAGACTTCTCAGTCCAAAACAAATATACAAGCATGTATTCATCCATTCATATATCCATCCAGTCACACATACATACACACACACACACACACACACACACTGAAAGTTTGCCCTGTAGGGAGTGGACATATTTGGTTTTATATTATTAATTATTTATTAAAGTTTGCCTGAAGTTTTGAAAGAAAAGTTAGCAGTAAGATAGTGATCAGTCACTGGTGGTACACACCTTTAATCCTAGGACTCAAGAGACAAAAGCAGATAGGTCTCTCTGAATTCAAGGCCATCTAGGGCTTCCCAATAATAAATCAGTCTAAAAGAGTTTACAGAGCTTGTGCCTTTAATCCCTAAAATGGTGTGATATAAAAGATAGGAGCAGAGTCTTCAGGAGACTCAGTCTGAGTTTTGGTGGAGTCAGGATAGTCTTTCAAGTCTGAATTAGAGGTAAGAGTTAGTGACTGGCTGCTTTGCTTTTCTGGTGTTTAGCTTGAAGCTTGAACCCTAATATCTGTCTCTGGGTCTTTCATTTATTGTGCTACAGACACTCACAAGGAAACTGTTCTGTGGTATCTATTAAATGGCAGAAGAGTCAGCTACATATGAGTGCATCCAGGTAGCAGGAGGTTTGTGTTGGTATCTCACATAACCAACAGTAGAGAATGTATTTATTTTCATCTGTACATTCACTGTTTATGTAAGAAGTCATAGGAGGGCCTTAGCTTAACAGAAATATGATGTCTTCCTTCAGTTTTTTCTATCTGTCTGGTGCCTACTCTTTGTGAGTGATTTTCTGATCAGAGGACCACATTGAGAGGTAAACAAGGCTTGCATATTTTCTAGAAAAGTTCAGATTCAAAGTTCACTCAAAGCCAAGTTGTCACTCGATGGTTAGGATGAAAAGAAACTTCCCTGCCAACTTACCAAGACCTGGATATGTTCTCATCATACACTGACAAGAACAGCAGCCAGATGCATTGGTAATATAATAAAAAGTGCCTGTACACATCACTTTCCAGGTGAATCCTCATTGTCTATCTGTACAGCCTTGATTAATTCTACCTAAGACACGGTAATGACTACAAGAGTACTGAGAGTGCACCATACATGTCCATGCCTTCCTCACCAAACTCCTACCTCCTCTACACTGTTATGTTTTTGTTTTTCAGAAAAGATCTCCATTCTAGTCTAGCCTGAAATTTACTCTACAGCAAAGAATGACTTTTAACTCATGTTTCTCATTCTTCCACTTCTTAATGACAAGGATTGATATGATTTAGCCATTGTTGGTACATTTTAAACAGAACTAAGAAACTCTGGGTCCTGGACATGCTAAGCATGCACTGAGGCAACTGGACCTAAACCTCCAGTCCATATTAGCATACTTGCTTCCTTAAAATACAATAGGCCAAAGTACTGAAAGTGCAGTTGCACTCCATATATAATGCTTTGGAAAGGTTGTTACTGAGTCTTATGTGGTTCACTGCTGAACATATGTATCTGAGTGATCATGCTGAAAATATGGTGACCAAATACCATTGAGAAGAAAACTCCTGAAGCACAGAATGTACCATATTTTTAGAGGTATAGTCCCACTGAGTGTGATAGTGAACTCCTTTTATAACAGTAGTCTGTAGGCAGAGGCAGGTGGAATTGTGTAAGTTCCAGGTCAGAAAGGTATATACAGAGGTAGTCCTGGGAGAGACACGGATACACAGTGAGACCCTGTCTCAAACAAGCAAGCAAGCAAGAAAGCGAAAGCAAACAAAAGACATGATAGCAAAAACCATAACCAAAATCCTATATTGTCCAGAAAGTCAGACAGCACAGATCAACATCCAGGTGGTGACTGGAGTTCTTAGTGAACACGGTGCCCAAATTGTGTTGCTTTTTATGCCCATACCAATGTCGTTAAATGCCTTAAAGCTTTTCAGGTTTTACTGGAAGGAGCCAACCAAATCTGGCTCAAATCCAGTTCACAACCATCGAATTTCAATGGAGTGGTTAGCACACAGTCTCTGCCCTGCACCACATTGTGGGCTGTTTTCTTTCCTACTTGCTAACGCCTGCAGGCAGGTAAATTGAACTGTCCCAGCCTTCTGACCACTGTGGTAGGGGAGGCAGTCTTGGGGCATTCCTGTCGCTTTGATTTATTTCAGCCAGATGTTGGAAATCTGGATACCCTTCCGTGGAGATTATTGTGCCCGGGATGGTGTTAAATGCGGTGGCTGTACTGAATGTGTAGAGACCCTCATCACTTATTCTGAGCCTTGGTTTATTCACTTGTTTAGGAAAACACAAATCAAACTACCACATATGGCTGTGGTGAGCTTTAAACACACTATTATAGGTAAATAGTGAATATTCATATTTTTCTTAAGTTAAAAAAGTCTCCCAGAACAAGGATAGTGTCTGGGCAGGGTCCCGCATAGCTGACAAAGTGGCTCAAATCCTGATTTTTTTCTCAGCAGTTTCCCTGGGAATTGGGTTAGCAACATAGATATCTGTCTAGATAAATTAAGACACAGTCTGGTGCACAAAATCTCAAACTAAGGAGGTTACTACAGGATGCAGCAACTTTAGACAGATAACTATGAGTTCTTACTTCAGGCATCACTATTTTTTTAAATCAAACTCTCAACTGTAAACTGATAGATGTGTTTTTTCTTACTCTGGTGCACTAGACAAAAGACAAGCAGTATTCACACAATTCACATCTAAAACATGTCCTCAGTGACTCCAGAATACATACCACGTCGGGGTTTTATAGGCTCCACCTGCAATACACAGGAAAGAAAACACTGTGAGGCTTGAATTATGGTGGGTTCTGTTTGTACAACTTTTTGGCTCATCTGTTTGCCAGGCATATTACACAAAGGACTGCCAAGCCCTTGGATGGAAGATTCTGGATTACTATGCCACGTGATACTGACACAGATTGGCTCAGCATGCTTGATTTGACACAGAAAAAGAAAAACAAACTAATAAAAACGAGTATGTTTCCCACTTTTGCTGACTCGAGGCCATATCTGGCAACCCTGTGTGTTTGGCCTCCACTGACGGTTCAGCTAAGCTACATTACACACGACAGACTAATTCACATCTGGTTACTATGATATTAATCCCTCTTATGGAGCACTCCAATAATGTGCACACATCCTTATGTCTTAAAGTTCTCGGCCCCCAGACATCCCCACACTGTCTTCTACCACGTATGTCTTTAGGGAACACACCCAAATTCAACCTAAGCCAGAGGCTCCGGAAGTCATACAAGGAGGGGCTCCCCTTACATTAACATTGAAACCCACAAGGAAGATAAGCCCATCAACTTCTGAGTGAAATTTGCATGCTTTTGTCTAAAGCAGAACATTATTTTCCCAAAGACACATCCCCAGTCATACTTGCTGCTTGACATAAGCAAGTGTGAATGTTCTGTCCAATCACTAATCTGGTATGATTCTGTTTTCCCTTCTTCCTACATATACTATTTCATGCTCATGGTAACCTAATCAAATTTAGTTTTCAGTGTGATAGCCACTAAAACATAGGGAACAATCATTAAACTTAACTTTTCTGTCTTACATGAAGCAAAGAAACCTTTTACCTCCACCAACGTGTCTTGACATTCTTTTTCAGCAGTTGCGGGACAAGGAACAATTGCTGATTCTATAGGAACAACTAGAAGAACAGGAAATAACTATCAGCTCATGGTACATTTATCCAACCAATCCATCTCTACTTGACTTGGATAAAACTGTCTGTAACCAGCACATGTATTAGTTAGGTGACTACTGGACTGTCTTCCTGATGGCAAATGTAGACAAAGATTTAAAAAATATAAAAACAGTCAATTTTTCTGCTTTCTAGGGAATGGGAATCCAAAGCAATGTGAGAATCTGTTTCAATATGTAACTACTGAGTGCATGTTTCAAAAACATTTACACATTTATTCAGTAGGGAGGGAGCACATCAGAGGACAATATTTGGTGTCTAGTTCTCTCCTTCCATTATGTGGGTTCTGGAGTTAGAATCAGAACACCAGGTCTGGTGATAAGCACTAATACCTACTGAACCATCTCACTCTGCCAAGTAAAATAAATCTCACAATTAAACCACATATCACCATCAACTTCTGAGATCATTTTGAACCCTAGAAGAACTGACAATCATTCAGCATATCTCACAAGCATATTTCAACCTCCACCAACTGATACATTCTGATTCTGCATTCATCATAAAGAACATACAATTTTAGCTTTGGTATCAAACATTTTACTGGGGAAGTGAATTTAGTATAAGGCATATGGTGTAACTGCATTTGTCCATTCATTCTTTGACATAGACAATAATTTATTAAAGAGTGGAAAACAGTAATGAGCATGCTGTGTCTTGTTTCTCCTTATAGTCTTTATTATTCTATAACTTTTGTATTCATGTGTTTTTTGGGATCCAATTTAAAACCAGCAGTGACAGGGGAAAATGAGTTTCTGGATCCCTTTGACCACTCAAGTCCTTTAACGTAGCTCTACATGAGAGTTGCTTCAGGGGTGATGGATACTCTTAAAACTGGGTAGAAATTCTAGATACCTATGTGCCACTCTATCAGGGTTTGTAGCTCAAATATCTCTGCACTTCTAGGAGCCACATTTGTATTGCTGTTATACAAGGACCACATTTGTATTGTCATTAGATACCAATTAAAGATCTCTTCATCTGTAATTGGCTTTAGGTCAGGTATGAAGGTGAATGTTGTCCCAAACCTAAGAATCTGTGAACTGATGAGACTGGTAATTCCTTATGATGATTAGTATGAAATGTGACACTGATGTAGCAATACATGTCCTGGGCTAAGTGACCATACATAGAGTCTATGTCATAAAGTAGGTAATTCCTAGGACTTCTATAGACATGCAGATATCCTGGCATGTACCCAGACAATAGGACTTCTTATTTGGTGAGTAAGGTAGCATTTTAGACACTCAGGATAGTGGGCAATATGTCTGGGCTCACATCGAGTCTTTTCCATCTAAGAACACATTCACCATTGTGTGTGTGTGTGTGTGTGTGTGTGTGTGTGTGTGTGTGTGTGTGTTTTATTCCACCGCAGGAATTCACATAGTCAATAATGAAATACACTTATCTGGCCTGTTGTTAAGTGATTCAATGAAAGTAATCTAAGCAGTGTCAATACTTAGGAAGGTTAGTCATTTTAAAATGTCCTGCTACCTAAGGCCCCAAATTTTAAATGCCTAGGTCACTCTTCTTCTAATGATATATGATTGCTAGTCCTAAGAGCCTACATTTCAAATTTTCCTACCTCTATTAAAAAGAAGTACAGAATGATGCCTATGTTGTCTTAAGTATATAATCAATGTCCATGCCTTAAAAAAATCATTGTTTTCCAGAGTATTCTACCTGTTTTAGTATGGAAAGTGAATCCCTGTTTAATGAAATGAACCGTAGATTTTTTTGACAGAATTACATTACATATTAAAACTTCTAGAATTATGAGACCATTGAAAATCTAAAATCTTAATAGCTCTTCATAAATGGGAACATCTCTACATTTAGGTTTTGATCAATTCATGAAGACAGCTATAGCTCAGCTTTGTGAAAGAGCTCTGAAAGCAGGTCAGGATAACTAAATCACATAACGTATGAAAACAGAAATAAGAGTTAACATGACTTTTCAGAGCTGTGGTTCTATATACACAGAAACACAATTACTCTTGCAAACAATTCTTTTTGTTCACCATATACACACTCTTTATATTCATTGATGACTCTAAATTGATATCAACTCTCTACTTAGTTCATCAGTCTCTATAATTCACCTCAGTCTCTACTTCGTGTGCTCAAATAGCGATCACTCATTCAGGACAAAACAATCTTGTTACAGTGTGAAATTATCATAACATTTCTCCTACTGTGAGTCACTCTGGGTTTCTGAGATGAATAATTTCAATACAGAGAACCAAGTACTTGCATGTATATTTATGAAAGAACATTTATGAAAGTATTTATATATAGGTATATCTACTAAGGACAAGCTTGAGGGAGGGAATATGAATTTGTATTATATATATAATACAGACACACATATATATAAATTAAATTATAAAGTCAGATTTTTTCATAGAGAATATAATACACATATTATATAATAAGACATAGTCCTAACAATACAGAAGTTATTAAAGAAGATATTTTGACAAATATTAGCTAGTCTAATTGAAGGAGTACTCAATGACTAGTAATGACATACCTCGACAGTTACAACAGTTCCCCATTTACTCTAATTCCAACACAATTATCACTCCACAATATATAACCACGTACACATGAGGAAAGTCTCAGAGTGTACTGGCCTTCAGATCTGAGGCATGATTATATCTAACTACATGTCAGCAGGGTGCCATGGAAATCGCATAGTGAACACACAATACATTCTATGACATCCAACAGCTGCTGTCTAGTCAAATGTGCTCATATACCCCAAGACTACAGGGTGGGTTTTTATAAATGTATTTAGTAATTTACTAAGAACGATCAACTCTAAAGCAAATACCTCCCCTGCCCCACACAAACCTTGCCCTCAAGGAAATGGACATAAACAACAGAATTGCTCTGTAGTATCTGTTAAATGGCTGAAGAATCAGCTACATATGAGTGAATCCAGGTAGCATGAGGTTTGGTTATCTCACATAACCAAGTGTTGAGATAGTATTTATTTTCACTCCTTACATTCACTGTTCATGTAAGAAGTCATAGGAGGGGCCAAGCTGAACAGAAATATGAGGTCTTCCTCCAGTGTTTTATGCACCAAACCTGCCTGATGCCTCTCAGTGGGTGGTTCTCTGATTAGAGGACCACATTGAAAGGTAAACAAGGCTTGCATATTTTCTAGAAAAGTTCAGATTCAAAGTCACTCAAAGCCAAGTTGTCACTCGATGGTTAGGATGAAAAGAAACTTCTCCTCAACTTACCAAACCTGGATATGTTCTCATCATACACTGACAAGAACAGCAGCCTGATGCATTGGTAATAGAATAAACAGTGCCTGAACACATCACTTTCTAGGTGACATCCTCATTGTCTATCTACACAGCCTTGATTAATTCTACCTAAGATAGGGTAATGACTACAAGAGTACTGAGAGTGCACCATACATGTCCATGCCTTCCTCACCAAACTCCTACCTTCTCTACACTGTTATGTTTTTGTTTTTCAGAAAAGATCTCTGTAGGTTTTTTTTAATTCTCACTCTATGGGGAACCACCACCCTGCTCCTTCTTATAAATGCAAAGCCTATATTGGTGGAGTTTCAAGACAGGGTTTCTCTGCCTTGCTCTGGAGGCTGTCCTGTAACTTGTTTTGTAGACCAGGCTAGCCTCAGCCTCCCCAGTATTGGGATTAAAGGCATGTGCTACAAATGCCTGCATGAATTCCCAGCCTTATCTTGGCTACTAGCCAGCTTTTCTTAACTTTTATACAATCTACCTTTTGCATCTCTACTTTTATTTTTCTATTCTATATACCTTCCTTTCCTTATTACTCCATGGCTTGCTGTGTAGTTGGGTGACTGACCCCTGGGGTTCTCCTGTCCTCCTATTCTTGACCCTTGGTCTCTCTTCCCAGATTTCTCCTCCAATTTATTCTCTTTGCCTGACAGCCCCACTTATCCTTTCTTTTGCATAATTATTGGCCATTCATCTCTTTATTAGACCAATAAGTTGATTGAGGCAAGCAAAGCCTCACAATTTTGCATCATTAATCAAATATTCCAGAGAATAAACAAACATAACACACCCCAAACTAATATTCTCAACAAATCAGGTCTTTGGCATTTCCTTCAATCTGTAGAAAGAGCATTACTGGCTAGGGGTGTGTCAATACCATCGAACCTTCCTACCAATCCAAGTCCATGCTTTCTCTCTCTCTCTCTGTCTCTCTGTCTCTCTCTGTCTCTCTCTCTCTCTCTCAGAAATGCACACACAAACACACACACACACAACACCACAAAAATCTAAAACCTAAATATACATACTCATCAAATAAAAAATCTTCCAAGAGGACACTACAATTCTAAACATTTATGTGCCAAACACAAGGTCACCCATATTCTTAGAAGTACTACAGTTAAACTCACAGTGATCCTCACACAGCAATAGTGTGACTTCAATATACTTTATTCAATAGACATGTTGTTTAGACAAAACCCAATCAGAGACATGCAGGTTTTAAATAATACTCTAAACTACATGTACCTTGTAAATAACTAGGTAATATTTCATTAAAATATACAAGAATATATTTCCTTTCATCAGTTCATGGAACTTTCTCCAAAATTGACCTTATAACTGTGCATGAAGTCCCAACAGATACAAGAGAACTGAAATAGTACTCTGTATCTTATCTGAACACCATGGATCAAACCTAGATATCAACAACAGCAGAAACAACAGAAAGTGTATAAAAACATGGAAACTGAGCAACTAACTACTAATGAAAATGGAGTCAAGACAGAAATGAATAAGGAAATTAAAATTTTTTTCAAGACAGGGTTTCTCTGTGGCATTGGAGGCTGTCCTGTAAATAGCTCTTGTAGACCAGGCTGGCCTCAAACTCACAGAGATCTGCCTGCCTCTGACTATCGAGTGCTGGGACTAAAGACACGT